TATATATATATATATATATATATATATATATATATATATAATGAATTATGAAAACGTAGACTCACAGTCCCATGGTGACATTAGAATCAATGAAATAAATATCACATGGGATTGAGTCTTCTTTTTCATAATTAACTAATATTTGGTCTGTTTTTTACATGGAGCTCTCTCTGAATTTATATCCTCTTTGGAATTATCAATACGGTTTACCAAATATTATCATTGTTTATATATATATATATATATATATATATATCGCATCCTTACTATAAAAAACGGAAGTGTATACATCAGACTCCATAAAAAGTGTCATTTTTAAAACCGATTGATTGCTCACAATGACTTTGTATGTGTTCAAGTGTGGCAATGTCAGAATAAACCTCACTTGCTTCTAAAGATATGCATCGTTTGACATTATTGTTATTAGAATCATCATCATTATTATTAGATATTTCATCATAAAATTATGTCTTTTACTCCATTAATTTATTAAGAAGTAAAGAAAGATAGAAAACGCCATTATTTCACAATCATTTTTCTGTTTAGGACATCTTATGCCTGTCATCCGAAATATGCCACTCCCCACGGGCAAATACCAAAATTGGAGTGGGGAGAGAATAAAAAGGAGACGAGGTCAAAAGAAATAGTATATTCTATCAAAGTGATAGTTTAATAGAATTTTGCCTCTGGCTTACGCATTCCCTTGTGTCCATCAGTTGAATTGGATGTACAATAACCCTATTTCATTGATATTGTTACTGTATTATTGCTATTTTCTGCTATTTCTTCTGTGAGTTTTTAGTTATTTTTATTTTAGCTGTTTTTAGTCTAGTTATGTTTTTTTGTGTGTTCTCCTGTGGCATCTATTATCATATCGATGTTTTGTTGAACCAAAAGCGACAAAGATGTGATTCTAACGACGAATGCTGGACAGAACATGTGACCAACGAGGAATTTTTAAGGGAAATAAAAACTACAAGGAAACTTATAATTGCATTCAGAAAGAAACAGTTGAAATTTCTGGGATACATAATGAGAAAAGAGGGCCTGGAAAATCTAACACTCACAGGACATATTTGAAGACAGAAGAAAGGGTGATAGTAAAAAAAAGTTAAGTAGTTATTTAGGGAAGAGCTATAATTGCTCACGTCCTGAAAGGTCATGATGCATAAAATGTACTATTTTGTTGTTAAGGATTTTATTATTATACTAGACTCTTTATTATTAAGCATATTGACATCTGATATTTGACTACATTAGCAACTATTAAGCAGTAATTAGTGGTAGAAATCCGGCTTTGTGGCCAAGGTAGTTGCGTATTCTCCGCTACGTCAATGACCGTTATTTAGATTCAGGTAAAAATCACAATGCCGGATGGAGTTTTATTAAAGGAGAGAGATCCTTCTTATTTAAAAGACTGATAGAATCATCAGAATCGCTTACTAAATAACATATGGCGTTCATTTTCTTTTGTTTTTTCATTATTATTATTATTTGTGTATGTTATCTTTCCTGCTTGTATCCTGTAGAGCAGGGTCCAAATTATGATACTTACGCACTATAGGAGAATTGTCATTTAATTGATAACACTTTTCTTAGTACATGGGCTGTTCCTAGTAGGGCGATCTTCTGAGCAACTTTTATGTTGATGTTACCTGTGACACTGTTAGTAAAATCATTCATTCCTTTTCTCATGAGATCCAGAACTCCAATTACTATTGGTACAGCCCCAGTCTTTATTTCCCACATCCTCTTAATCTTGATCTCCACGTCTTTGTTTAGGATAATTTCTCTATAATTTTTATGGTGTTTCTCTCAAATGGTACTGCTATATCAATAATCATACACTTCCTGAATTTCATTTATTTTATTATAATATCAGACCTGTTGGATTTTATTACCCTGTCAGTCCCAGAGAATATTTACATCGTTATTTTGGGTAGCTGTGCCTGGTTGGAGCTCATACCATCTCTCTCAGTTGTTTCGATTTTGTGCTTCTTGCATATCTTCCAATGCACATACGTCGCTAACTTGTTATGTCTCTGGGTATATTCATTTTGCCAATTCCAGACATCCTAAGATAATATGGTCAACGGTTTAATCATATTTTCCGCAGATCCTGCGTTTCGGGTTAGTTCCATTCTTGATTATGTGAGTGATAGGATCTGGTTGTGAGGCTTTGGTCCTGAGCTGCAATAATTAGGCCTTCTGATTTCAACCCGTTGCTCTTCCGCCTCTTATGTGTTTTATGGTGGTCCACGTCTGCTTCTTTCGTTCTTTTTAGGTATTTTCCATGCCTTGTCCTCCCAGTTTTTTGTAATTTCATTCGGCCAAGTTGTTTTGCTTTCTGTTTTACAAGTTTGGGGTAGATGGTATTCGCTTCGTTTTTTGTTGATAGTGTTTCTGGTATATTAAGCTGTTTCTTGTGCTGTTTCTTGTGCTGTTTCTTGTGCAGCTTCTTTGTTGATGGAGTGCATTTGGTGTTTTACTATTTGTAGGAGAGGGTCATTGATTTTTGTGAAGTATACTTCCAATCCAATTGTTGTAGTTTTTTAGGTTAGTTCAAGTTGGATTCCTCTTAAAGCTCATGCTACGTACATCCTATAAGCATCTGATTTCGGATGGTGCACCCTCATTTGGGTAAAAAGTTTTCTGGTCTTGGCGTCCAATCTTTTAAGGTCATTCAACTTCTATATAATAATATTGAAACTGTATGTTACTTAGTGTATAGCTAAGATAATGATAGCCTTCATTTTATTGGTCCCATTTTGTTCACTTTCTAGTATCAAACACACTCTCGTATAATATTCTTATTCCTCATAATTAAATGTTTTATTCCGTCTCCTTCATTAATTCCTGCGTATTTGTATGTGGCATCTTGGTCTAGTTCCTTAATCTTGTTGTTGATATCAACGTACAAATCTGTAGTTATCGGGAGTAAATTGTTTTTCTCGATAAGGGTGAAACTATTAGCATAGAATTTACGGTTATATCTAGTCATTTCAACTACAGTGTAACCCGGATATAAGAGAAACCCGGATATAAGAGAGATTTTCTCTGGTCCCAAATTAGAGCCCGTGTTAATGTATATAAAATAGACCAAACCCGGATATAAGATACTTTTTCTCCGGTCCCGACAACTCTCTTATATCCGGGTTACACTGTATAAAATAATGTGACCTAGCACTCTTACACACACACTTAAGTAATTCATCGAGCCTGAAAGAAACCTCAACAGAATGCACAAAGCACTGAACGGTCGTTTCGTCCTATATTTGGGACTCATCAGCAGTACGCATCTAGAATTGAAACCCTGACAGTTAGGTTGCCAAGCAAACATTATACCTAACTGTTCCACCGGGCCTCGGTAACGAAGAGGTTGCAAATCAGACTTAATATAGCGCATTCTATTTTTTATATATATATATATATATATATATATGTGTGTGTGTGTGTGTGTGTGTGTGTGTGTGTGTGTGTTGTGTGTATATATATATATATATATATATATATATATATGTGTGTGTGTGTATATATATATATATATATATATATATATATATATATATATATATATATATATATATATATATATATATATATATATATGTAACTGATACTCGGGTCGTGTCCTTAATTAGCCTCACCAGATTGGCACTTTCATATAGATGTCATGCATGGTACCAAACCGATTCTGAAATATCTTAACTCTCGCTTGTGCACAACCGCTTTCTATAATCCATCGTTGAAAAGAGCAGCCTTTTTTTAACATTATGGATTGGCGCTACAGGATCACAAACAAAGAACTGTACCAAATAACTCTCCCCAGTCATCAATACTGGAAAGACCAATAACAGCAACTGGACTTGAGAAACCTGTTTACCTGAAAAATTGTTTTAAGAAAAAGATTTTATAAATTTCAACAGGCAGCAGTACTGGCTGCTCGGTCAATGAATGCAAAATGTCTTGTTGTAGGGAAATAGATAATATTAACATTGTCATTACCATTACGAATATCTATTTCTTTCAAATTGAAACGCTAAAAGAAAGGCCAAAGTTGTAATTCAAAAGTATCACCATGTGCTAGATTCTGCTTTGGTTGTTAAACAGCTATACTCGCTTACACAGAAATGTAATATATCTGAAGGTATATATATATATATATATATATATATATATATATATATATATATATATATATATATATATATATTCGTCGCTTTAGCTGACCGCAAGGTCCTGAACAAGTTAATGCAATTCTATGATATCAAAGTGAGCGGTTATTGTAGATGTCAAATTGAGCAGCGAGGTGCCTTTTTAGTGAACAGTGAAATTCGAGGCATTAACTCAGATGGAAAGTAATTACGAATAGAGAAGAGTTAGGGTCGGTGCGAATGAATGCGGAGGGGTTGATAAGAACGGTAGTGAAGATGAAGGCGGAGGATTAAAAAAAAATGGTGGGTGGGTACCACTTGAAGAAAGGGCTGTAGCGAATAAAATCTAAGAGAGTCAACTTATTTGAAGAGTCTTTAAGCATTTCTATTACAAAGCCCTACGGGCAAGATTATTTCTACATCTTTTTTTTTATGATAGAAAACAAAAAGCTATACATATAAAAAAAATTTTCTTTTTTTGAAAAATCAGTAATTTATTCCTATTTTATTTATATTTTTATAACATTTGTGTATATATGTGTGCATATTATTGTAATAAATCGATAAATAATTTTCAACCATCTTTACATTACTGTCTCCGGGCATCTGATATTGACAGTAAGTTTAATACGTTTTGTTACCATCCCCAAACAACCTCAACCGAGCAAGACCATTACAACCAGCTTCCTTTCTCGCCATTTTTAATACTTCTTTTCTTACTTTTTCTCCCCCTCGCTCCAACTCAAGCTCTGTAGTCCACGTGTTTTTCGGGTGTTTTTTTTTTTTTTTTTTTATCTAAATCGGAAAACCTAATATATTCATATCCGCGGGAAAATTCTGAAAAAGATGCATACAAGATTTTCCAATCTATCTTTTTCCCTCGCGTTTTTTTTTCTTTATTTCTTGAAGGCTTCTTCTTCGTTCGTACAAACCCGCAGCCCTATATCTGACATTAAATTGGTATTAAAATCCCAAATACCCCATTTTTTTATTTCTTTGTATAGCATTCATCTTCATTTCATTTCCCTTTCCAGGCAAAACTTTCAAGTGTTAACACTTTGAGCCCTGACCACCACATTACCAGTGGTAGAGAAAAATGACGTAATGCCTAGCCACCGGTTAAACAGTGGTAGAGAAAATGACTTAATGCCCAACCACCGGTTGAATGGTGGGTAATCACTTGTAAATATTTTCACATCTACTGTGAAACATTACATATCCATTATTTGCGAATTTTGACTCAGGAGTTCAGGCAGAAGGTTTAAAACTGTTCAGGAACGCAGGGCTCAAATGGTTCATATGTCCTTTTCGCTTACAAACTGTCACTAGTTAAATTCAATAGAAAAGTCACAGCCTCTCAAGGTAGAGGTTTACTAAATGAGGTGGTTGCAATGGCGTATAAGGTGGGAGCAAAATGTGCCTATTATGAGGATTTGTAAGATATCTAACAGTTGACCCAAAACATGAAGAGGTTAAGATTGTAGCGATTGGTGAAACGTCTTTTCGGGAGTCCGTTCCAAAATGCAACAGATCTGGAGAAGAAATTATCAGTGTGGAACTTCCTCCTTACGGATGGAATATGAAAAGAACAAGGATGAGTCGACTCAGCATACGTGGTATGGCGGATCTTAGCTGTGAAGATCTGAACTGGTGGAAACAAGGAATGTCGTTCACCTGAATATCTGTCATGAAAATAGCGATAGAGTTTCGAGAGGCTACGAACGTTTTCATCCGTGGGAAAGAAGTTGTAAGGGACAAACGATTCATTGCACATAACGCTAGACAAACATTTTTAAACCCTGTCAAGGCCGGAAAGTGAGAATTTGGGTCGCTTTAGTCCAGATATACAGCAATACTCCATTTTTGTTCTGATCTGACTCTTGTAATGATGGAGCATGAAGATGGATTCAGATTATGGAGCTGTACAAAGATCCGACCATATTTTCAACATCTTTAGTGAGGGATGGTATATACGTGTTCTGTTTGAGTTCTGGGGTGAGCTTGAGTCAATAGACGTTCCAGGAAATGAGCTCCATTGATTGAAAGTACAACGGTTCATCATGACTGGAGAAAATCCAGAGTCAGCTCTTTAGTATTCCCTTTAAGACTGATTTTGATGAAGGCCAAAAGCGTACCTATTACTACCCATTTAACAGTTACAAACTGTTGACGAGATTACATCAAAACATACTGGCTCTACAGTCATATGTTTGCTTCCCACAAAGCTGATGATGATCTCTCCACTATATCTGTTCCCAAATATTTTTCCGGCTTTTTTTTTGTTTGTTTATTTTTATTTTCAAAATCATAAAAGTTAAAGGTACGAACTACGAAATGGAGATGTCAAAATCAAACAAGTAAAGAAGTCTGAATGTCTGGGTAGAGTTTTCACAGAGGATGGAAAGTGTGACACTGAAATCCGAATGCGTGTTTGAATGTCAAAAGATGTTTTCCAAAAGCTAAGCAAAGTAATAGAATTATTAAAACGGCAAAATGTTGTTAGCAAAGAAACGAGTGCTGAACTGACACGTGATATAAATCCACATATATAGCAGTGAATTCCGAACAATTTCCTCACAGATTAAGAGAAAACTATTGGTAACAGAAATATAGTTCAATGCTGACAATACCATGGAGGCGTAAGCGTTGAAGAAGTCTTCAGGAAAACAGAAATAAAAAATGACACTTATTCTCAAGATCTGAAAGCTGAAATTTCTTGGATACATAATGAGAAAGATGGACTTGTAGAGTTTGGCATTCACATGGCATATAGACGACAAAATGGATAGGGGCAGCGGGTAATCTACTTGACAAGCTTATGCGAATGGGTCGCGGAATGTGGGGTGGAAGGGAAGGCAAAGCGACAAACGTTACTGAGAACTACGGGCGGTAAGAAGTTGTTGAGAACTCTGATCGCTCACGTCCTGGAGGAACGGCACATAGAAAAAGAAGAAAATACAGCACTAGGTTGTGACATAGAAATTGGCCTTTTGACGTCATTTGTTGCTACAAGGCAACAAAAATCTAAACTTAATCATGGCATTACACTTTGCTGTTTTTTTTACCTTACGACGAACCGTATCGTCTATTTAAGTGAACTTCTTCTTATGTGCCGTGTTCCATCAAGACGTAGGTGATCATAGCCCTCCACAACTTCCTGTCCCTTGTAGCTCTTAATAAACTGTCTTTCTATTATGCCATCCATTTATTCAGGCTCACTATATTATGCGTTGTTTTCCTCTGTCCATTTTTGCCCTCTATCTGTTCAGTGAATTTCAGATTTTCTAAGCCCTCCCTCCTGATTCTGTGCTCCAGAACCCTCAACTGTCTCTAACTGATGATAAAAATTAGTTCCTTTTCGTTCCCATTTTCTACAGAACTTTGTCGTGCTCACCTGTTCGGTTCATAGTATCCTCAGCATCCTTCTGTAGAACCACATTTCTTTTACTTCAATTCTCCTCTTCATCTTTGAGAAGAACGTCCAGCACTCACTGCCATACAGGAGGACAGATATCACGTAGCAGTTTAGTACTCTTTTCTTTGTTTCTAGCGATATTTTTCTTATTCTTAATACTCTGCTTAGCTTTTGGAGTAATCTTTTATTATTATTATTATTATTATTATTTCTTGGCAGCAAATATCTTGGGGAATCTTTGCTCTCGGATACCTAGTGAGGCCGATATAAAAGAATTACGGTTTTTCAAATTCGACAGCAGGAGACTGCTGGCAGACGGTGGATACCAAGGCCTTGCTGAGCTGTCTTTTTTCCTCACACTTTTTTTTAAAAGTTTCATTGTTCAAGTAGATTGCGTGATAAATCTTGCGTCTCCATATCAGTAGACAGTAATCCACGAACGGTTCGTACTTACAGTTTTAATAACGATATCAGTATCCACACGGAAAACTTTTTTGTTTAAAATAAAAATGATAACGTTCACAGCTGACACTACTTTTCCGCTTATTATACTGAATTGCTATAAATGACTTTTCTTAACCGCAGTGCCCCTTGTGATTCTGTTAGGAAGAAAGATCAAATGTAACTCACTCAGACTAAACATTAAACTTGGTTTCCACTATACTTACTGCTGCGTTGTTCCGCAATTAGATCGTTCTAGAATTCGAGCCAAATACAAATCAAACAAGGAAAGAAAACTTTTTTAAAAAGATTAATATTATAAAAGACTTAATATTAGGAGATAGATATCTATCCAATAGATAAGATTTAATCTGCCTGCATAATTTTAAAAATTTCTCAAGTTCAGAAATTGTTTTTTTTTTGTTTTTTTTCTTGTTTATTATGTGATTTTCTATTGTTAATGGCGTAAAAATCATACCAATTCAAAATTAGAAGACCAGGAGAGGCCAACAGAACAATTCGCGACGAGAAATCTAATGGTAATAATAATGGAGCGACTCGGATTAAGGAATCGGAAATCCGAGTTCGATTCCAGTTGAATCCATTACATTCACTTACGTGCTAAACCCTTGGGAAAATATGAATCATCTTCTTCTCCACCCCACCAACCCCAGACTACGGGTAAATAGCAGGACAAACCGGGTTCTATAGCTTTGGATGGCAACTGGTCTACCGCAGAAAGAAATGGCAACTTACTGCGGGAAAAAAATCTGCCTCGTCAGCTACGTATAGAAAGATACATGATCGCCTAAACGTGTATCACGTGTGACACATAACTGACTGAATGGTAATATCTATTATCTTATAAGGGAACATTCGGCATTCATTGACCGAATAGCCAAGCCAATGCTACATTTGTTTGAAATTTATAAACTCTTTTTCTATTAAAATAAGTTTTCGGGAAAATAGATTTCTCAGGTTGGGTAACTGTTACTACTCTTTCCAATACTGACGGAGGCTTTCTTCTTCACATTTGTTTGAACTAATGTGAGACGTCACCATCTTGATTATTTCATTATTTTCTCTTCGAGTTGCATGTGCTGCTGCTGAAAGTTCTCATGTGATTTGGTTTCTGTTATTTGATACAATTCTTTGTTTACGAATCTGTAACGCCAGTCCACGAGTTCATTAATAAACAGGCTTCTTTCGCTTATAAGCCATTTTTAACCATTGATAGGCCGTTGTATACAGGTGAGAGTCTAGATATATCTGAACGAGTATTGGCGCCATGCATGACATCCATATGAAAGTTTTCATCTTTTGGTTTTGTAGCAATTTGCGGTATTGGGTAAAACTACTCTAAGTTCAGCTAATTCTGCATTCAATGTCCTTATCTTCCATAACTATATAACAATAATCATAAAAAAATCTATTTAATAGTTTACTTCGTCCTTTTACTCTCTACATAAGTTCACCTTAGAAATTTAATTAACTTTTCTGTTTATTGGAATTTCAGGTCTATTTGTCTTTTTCATATGGATAAATATTTGTATTCTTCTTGGACAATTCATATTCATGCCAGACATCTCCGATTTTACATATGCCGGAATGTACTGACAACACTTCTTGCTCACGAATAATATCATTTAATACAAATTAAGTTATCAAAAACGACTTTTCTAATTTGAAACTGCATAGGAAATGAATTTCAACGTCTAGAAATATAGGAGAGAGCGCGTATGCATTTCTATGACATTTGGTTATTATACGACGATCGGTTCAAAATAATGTTGTTTGATTTAATTTTAAAAGTTTTAATCGGAATTCTTAGGGTGGTTTGGGGGAATCTTTGTAGAGATAATTACTTTTTTCTTAACCTTTCCCAAAATGGTAACTACTCTGGACGCATATGGGAAGCAAAGAGCTGTCATGATCAGTTTTTCAAAGAGAATGCTTTGTAGCCATTCACACTGGATCAATGAATGTCTATGGAAAAGATGGAGTAAGATGGGTTGGTCGAGTTAGGGGTAATCATAGAGAACGAAACTCACCTCAGTGACAGGCCCTACAGTGGCAGGAAATCTGCTGCTGTAAATATGGATAA